CCCTGCAGGATCCTACCAAATCGGGCGCTCTGGCTGACCCCCGTTTGCATCGACCCCCGTCTCTTGAGCCCCGAGTTACGTTCCCATGCGCACATCTGAAAATTGAAATCGATGTTGTGTGTCCTCCGCGACTGTCTTACGACAGCCCCGCCCTCCCAGGGCGTTTGCCCTGGATACAGGCCTCCGCCCGTCTTGTGGATGCCATGACAATGAGCACCCTAACAAGCTGATCATTAAACTACAAGTGTGCTTGACATGTTTGAAAATAAACATGTGTTAGCCATGTTTTAGACATGTGTTTGACATGTTTAAGGCATGTTTAGATCATGTCTTAGGCATCTAGAAATTATTTGGCAACATGCTTCCTCTCGGTTGATCGTCGTCCACAACTCCAGTTCAGCCTCAGTCTTGAGGGGCGCGCGCCCCAAGGGCGTCCGGCCCAGGCCCTACCTCTGTGGAAAGCGCTGTAGTGGTATTGGTTTGTTGTGGGCTTCGCCCAAAAACTCCCGTCGACCTATTCCAACATACTTCAGGATAGGTCGGCTCCAGCAAGCTTACTTTCCAGCTGGTTTCTGTATACTTCGCTGCACAAGAAGCATCCGAAGACGCATCGGAAGGTCAAGTTTTACCAGCCTGGCTGTCCCCCAGGGGGGTGGGGTCCATTCTGGAAACTCAGAGACCGGGCCATATGATGACGTGGCCTTAGGTCGGGTGTGTCCTCCTACAAGCGGATGTTGGACGATTTGTTTTCTTGTTCTTTGAAACATCGGAATCCGCCAAAAAATGCTCAAACGTACACAAACAATCGTCCCAAAACTATGTTTGACTATTTGGGAATATTCCTCCTGTAGAAGGGCATGTCCGAATTACTTACTTACGCATGACGAAAGATTTGCCTCTTGAGGTGCAAATGGCGATGATGAGTTGGAAGATAATGACCGAGCCCCTTTCTCCCGTATAATATTAACACGGGCGGGTTCCGGGGGCCGCGGATCCGATTTCCTCCAGCTCCCTGTTTAAATTTCATACTATAAATTTCAAACGAGGTGAACATCGGATCCGCCGTAAAAGATAAGACCAAACACGGATCCAGCCAATCCGAAATCGGATCCGCGCGGACGGAAATCGGATCCACCGAAGCAGACGCCAAAGACACAATTGGATCCGCGCGAACTTCACGGGATCCGACGGCGGTTATCCACGCGCGTCTGCTCAAGACTTTAAGCCGTCGTCCCAGGCCCAAGAGGAAAAACTTTCGTCCTGGGGATGTAGACGTGGCCTTCACAAAGCGCTCCCGTCTCGCGACGACCCGGGTCCGCCCGGGCGCCAAGGCTTCCCGTGAAGAACGGGGGAGTGTCCGCCCCGCTGCCCTCGCCAGAGCTGGTTTCTTTTTGAAGCGTCCGCCCAAGGCTGAGCCACTCCACATCCTCCTCCTCCTCTTCATCCTCCCCCTCCTCCTCCTCTTCCTCCTCCTCCTCTTCATCCTCCTCCTCCTCCTCTTCATCCTCGTCCTCCTCCTCCTCCTCCTCTTCCTCTTCCTCCTCCTCCTCCTCCTCCTCCTCCTCCTCCTCTTCCTCCTCCTCCTCTCCTCTCCGGTCACGCCTACAAGGGATCCCCTTGGGACTGCGCCCCCTTAGGCGGGAATTGGGGGAGGAGGATGGGGGAGGCGTAACGCGCGAAATGAGACGACGGCAGCTCAAGATCGATCCCAGGACCCCTCCCGGGGTCCAGACGCACCAGTGTTCCGAGCTGCACCCAGCCCTCACGACGACGGGCCCCCCGAAGGCGAACTCTCGTTCCCTCCTCCTTCGCGTAACGAGGAAGAGTATGGACAGCACGCCGGCGGTGGCGGGGGAGCCACAGAGCTTTTGGATCGTGGCCAGGGTCGCCCCAGCATCCCTGGAGGTGCGGCTCGGGTGCGGCAGCGGCCGCAAAAAAAGGCAAGCGCTCGAACCCCGTGGAGGCTCGAGAGCCTCCCACACTCTGAGTGCTCGACCTCCCGTCTGGAGGCGCCTTCTCGAGGATCCTCGGAACGTGTGCTGGCGCCAACGGGTGCTTGCCCGCCGAGGCCCTTCATGCGGCGCAGCGAGGGCCATCACAGGCTGCGCGCTGGCGGTGAACTCGGACGTTGAAGGTCCTCGTCAGCGTGCTGCGGCCGAGGCTCGTCCGAGTCGATGAGGCACGGGGGAACGCGCACATTGGGCTAACACACGCCCTGAGGATCCTCGACCTCCTTCCTACACCCTGGAAGCGAAGCTGTGTTCCTCCGGTCTGGGCGGCTTGGGAGCTCCTGAGCTTCCGGCGCCCACAGATCAGGGGCAGAATGCGCCTCGCGGCGCCTGCCCCTAGGCAGGGCTCGAGCCAAACCGTGTTTTTCGATGTCGTGTTGTGTTCGTTTTCCTTCGTTCTGTCTTCCTTCTGCCACTGCCGCGGGGAACGAAGCCAAAGCGAATAAACGGCCCACGACATCGCCAACACACCATGTAGCTCGAGCCCTGCCCCTGGGCAGCAAAAGGGGCGAGACACATCCGCACCGAAGGCCGCCGCGGCCAGGAGAGCAGTAGAGGCCTCCTAGACGGGGTCCGAGTAGACGGGGCCGGAGGATTGCACCGCCTCGCCGATGTATCGCCGATACATCGGTGGCGCATCGGCGATGCATCGGCGACGTCGGCGATGCATCGGCGACGTCGGGGTGGAGAAAATCCGCCGAGCCGCATCGTCGATGCATCGGCGATGCGGAGCGATCCTCCGACCCTCCCCAACCCGAGCTCCATCCGGGATGCCCAGAGGCAGAAGGAGGCCCTCGCGGAGGCGCGGTGCCGCTGCGCTTCTTCGGCGACCCGCCCGAGGCGCCCCTCCGACCTCCAGGCTCGGGGGGGGGTCCTCGCCGTGGACCACACCACGGGGGGGGGGGGGGCTTGCCGATTGCGCAGGTGTTGTCGGGACGATCGGCATGGGTACGGAAAGAAGGGGTACGACGCCCAGCAGCAGCTCCTGCTCATTGTGAAAAGGCCTCGCTGTCCGCGCCACAGGCATTGCTCTTTGAAGGCAAAAAGCCGCCTACCCAACAGCGGTCGATGTCGGTTTTGGACAACATCTGTTGTTGGGCATTGTACCCAATTTTCCGTACCCATTTCGGGCGTCCAGAGTTAGGTCGGACATGTTCTCCGACAAGCGGATTTTGAACAAAAGAACCAACACATAGGCGAAAACAACCTGTTGCATGATAACCATAACACGTAAAATCGTCACCAGGCGATCGTTGGACTTTTCTCGAATATTCTTCCCGTAGGGGGACTTGCCCGACTGAACGCTGGCGGCTCTTCTCAGGGAAACCGGGCACAGCATAACAAACAACAGCAACTTTCGGAGCTGCGCGCGGATCTCGTGGATCGACGCGCCAGGGGCGAAGCCCAGGAAGGCCGATCCACCGCAGATCCAGGAACTCCGCGCGGAGATCCACAAGCGCATGGTTATGCTGTGTTGTCGGACTCGCCTTCTCGCCCCTCCGATGAGTAGTGGTACAAGCAGCGGAGGCGGCAGTGCCATACATATATACACACAGTTGCCGGCCCCGTGCAGCTGCGATGCTGGAGCGCGCCAACCCGACGTGAGCTACCACGATCGGGCCGCGCACCCCGTCTCGGCATAGCCTGGGCTGCCCGCGTCCTCACATCCCGCCCCCCCCCCCGGCGCGCGCAGACGCCATCTGGCCGTGCAGGGCGACGGGGACGTCTAAGGAGGGGGGCAGCGGCTGGGGGAGAGCGATCGCATCGCTTGTCGCATCGTGCCCGCGGGGGCTCGGCCAAGCCAACGTAGCATCCCCCCCCCCCTGCCGAACCTCTCCGCCTCTTCGGTCACCTCACTTCGCGCTGTGCGCCGCGCGATGCGAGGCGCCTGGTCTTCCTCGCGCCGCCTTCGCACCGCCTTCGCGCCGACGACCTGAAGAAGACCACGTTTGCAGCCCAGGCCGCGAGGCGCGAAGCGCGAGTATCGGCCCCCCCTCCTCCTCCCCTTTCTCCTCCTCCCCCTCCTCTTACTTCTCCACCTCCTCCTCCTCCTCCTTCTCCTCCTCCTCCTCCTCCTCCTCCTCCTCCTCATCCTCATCCTCATCCTCATCCTCATCCTCATCCTCATCCTCATCCTCATCCTCCTCATCCTCATCCTCATCCTCATCCTCATCCTCATCCTCATCCTCATCCTCATCCTCATCCTCATCCTCATCCTCATCCTCATCCTCATCCTCATCCTCATCCTCATCCTCATCCTCATCCTCATCCTCCCTCATCCTCATCCTCATCCTCATCCTCATCCTCATCCTCATCCTCATCCTCATCCTCCTCATCCTCATCCTCATCCTCATCCCTCATCCTCATCCTCATCCTCATCCTCATCCTCATCCTCATCCTCATCCTCATCCTCATCCTCATCCTCATCCTCATCCTCATCATCATCATCATCATCATCATCATCATCATCATCATCATCATCATCATCATCATCATCATCATCATCATCCCCCTTCTCCTCCTCGAGTATCGCCCCCCCTCCCCTTCTTCCCCTCCTCTCCTCCTCCTCCTCCTCCGCCTCCTCCGCCTCCGCCTCCGCCTCCTCCGCTCCTCCGCCTCCTCCGCCTCCCCTCCTCCTCCTCCTCCTCCTCCTCCTCCTCCTCCTCCTCCTCCTCCTCTTCCTCCCCGCCGGCCAATGAGTGCCAGGGGAAACTTTGTCAGCCTTCTCCAAAGCCACAGACGGATTCTCAAAGGTCAGGGGGCTTCCGAGACGACCCGCCGCCTGCTAAGCTTTTGGGAAGGGCCCAGACGACGTACCCCCCACGAAGGTGTCGCAGTGGCCTCGGCTCCAGCCAGGGTGGGCGTCAAAACGCAGCCGCTGGGCGCCCCGAGGCGGGCCCTGAGGCCCCCTCTCTAGGGCACCTCTTCTCTGGGGCACGTTTGGCCTTCCCTCCCCCCCTTGTCTCATCCCTTCTCACTGGAGGCCCCAGCTCAGGCGCCGCCCGCGGTGACGCACGCGAGGGTCTCTTTCGACGCCGCCGTGGCCGCCCTCGCCGCCTCGGCGCCCTTGGAATCGAAGTGCCGGAGCGCCTCGTAGGCCGCGAGCGGGCCCGCCCGGAAGAGCTCGAGGTTGCCGTGGGCCGCCTCCGAGGCCTGCGAGGCCCTCTGGACCTCCGCGGCGAAGGCCTGCAGCTCCTGCGCAGCGGCCTTGGCCTGGGCCTCGCTCTCGTGCAGCTGGGCCAGGGCCTGCTCGAAGGCGGCCCTGCACTCCTGCGCCGCCCCCTCCGCCGTGTCCACCTCCGAGGCCTGCGCCGCCACGCACGCGCCCGCCTCGGCGAGGCCCGCCGCCCTCTCCGCGAGCTCCCTGCGGAGCGCGGCGGCCTTCTCGAACAGGCTGGTGGCAACCTGCTCGAGTACCAGGGTGTCGAAGGCGCTGCGCTCGGAGGCCCTCTTGGAGCCCGAGCTGCCGAGCGAGGCCCTGACCGAGGCGTCGAGGTCTGCGATCTGCAGCGCGGGCTGCAGCTGCTCGACGCGCTGCTGCCCACACAGCGCGCCCTCCTCCCACGCGCCCTCCCTGAGGGGACAAAGGTGCTCAGCAACCAGGAGGTCGAAGGCCTCACACTCGGTCATCTTGGCCGCCTCTGCCTCCTTCGCGGCCAGCTCGGCCTTCTGCCTGCCTGCGAGCGTGACCTTCGCCTCGGTCAGGGTGGCGTCGGCGGAGCTGAGGGCGGCCCTCTTGTCCTGCATGGCCTTGGCCCTGTCCTCGCGGGCGCCCTCGGACGCCGCCTGCGCAGCCTGAAGCTCTGCCTGGCGGCGCCCCGCCGCTGCTGCCTCCTCGGTGGCCTTCGACGCGGCCGCGTCCCTGTCCGCGAGCGTCCTCGCCAGGGCCTCCCCGACCATGTCGACGACGCGGGCCTGCACGGCGTGCCGCGCGTCCGCCGGCGCGCCCAGGCTCGTCGGGAGCACCGCCAGAAGCATGGCGCGGCACCCGTCGGGCAGCGCGGCGGCCGCGAGGGCCTGGGCCACGGCATGCAGCTGCTCCTCCTGGGGCGAGCGCCTCGCCGCCTTGCCTGGGCGGCCGGCCGCGCCCACAGCTGCGGCAACGCGCTTGCTGCCCTTCTTCGGTGCCATGCTGGGCGGGTCGGGTCGCCTTGCCTCGTCGGCCTGGGCCCGAGCAGCTTGAGCCAAAATGGCTACGTCTGAGACACAGGGCTGCGGAGGAGTGGGCCAGGCTGGAAAGGGGTCGCCCCAGGCAGTGCGGAGGAGGACGAGGGCGCAAAGGCTCAGGACCAGGCGCAGGAGGAGGGGCCGCGCCTTCTGAGCCTGGGGCGTCATGGGCCGAACGAAGGGGAAGAGCGGCAAGAAGATGAATAACAAGACGAATGGTAATACTACTAAAACGAATGATAATCGTAGACGTGATCATACGAAGAATAAGTATATAGCTAATAATGGTGATAACACCAAAAATAACAACACTACGGATGATGTGGATTGTAAGAACAGTCGTAGTAGTAGAACTTGTACAATTCATCATAATATTACTTATAATAATAATACGAATAATAATAATAATAATAATGATAAGAATAATAATAATAATACTAATAATAATAATACCAATCATAATAATAATATAATAACAATAATGACAATATTAATAATCATAATAATAATAATAATAATAGTATCATCATTACTACTACTAGTAATAACCAAAATAATATCAATAACAATAATAATGAAACCGCAGTAGCAGTAAAACATGAAAATACAACAATTAATCATAGTAAACAGAATGCTAATACAAATCAATCAGAATAGCGGTCGGAAATGCAGAGGTCCGCGCCAAGACCAAGCGCGGAAGAGGCTGAAGGGGCCGCTGCCCCCGAAGGCAGGAAAAATAACCTCGACGGGCAGAGGGGGGCCACCCAAAAGGCCGCCTGCTCCTCGTCCGATCTGTCCTCGTCCTCCGCCTCTTCCTCCAGCTCCTCGTCCTCCTCCTCCCCCTTTCTTGCTCCTCGATTCGCCCACTTCTGCGTGTGACTGCATGGGTTTGATGTCCTGCACACGTGCGGGGCTGCGCTCGTCCTGCGTGAGTGAGCCAGGCGGGGGCCGCCCAGCATGCACTCGCCACGGGGGGTGGGCGGCAGACACAGCGTGCGTATCAGACCGCTGCCCCAGCCGCCTCAGCCAGCGGCCGGTTTCCCCTTCGACGGCGGAGCGGACTCAACGAGGGCGGCACCGAAAGGATGGGCGCTGTGGTGGCGACCTGGCTCCAACTCCTACGTGGCGCCTGCGTCAAACCCCACATGGACGACGACAGGCCTGAGAACCCAAGACGGGCTCCCACCCACACAAACACTCCGCTGCTGGTGGGGAAGACAGGTGATGAAGGATGAGGATTCGGGTGCCCGGGGGCCCGCAAAGGCCTCATGAGGTGCCTGGAGGCCCAACGCGGCCATCGAGGATCGATGAACGGAAGGGACGG